CTATCTCACTGTACTTTGGATTTGCACTTCCTTCATGGATAATGTTGAGCATCTTTTCATGTTCTTTGGTCATTTCTGTATCTTTGGAGAAATATCTATTCAAATTATTTGCCCATTTTTAATACTAGGGTCTATTTTGTACTGTGTTGTGTTCATAATAATTTCTGGATGCTATATTCCTATCAGGTAGTTGATTGACTAATCTTTTCTCGCAGGAATTCTTACAAATTTGGGACTGGCATTATCTACTAAAACTGAATATGTAAGTTAGAAAGTATTGCTACAAACCCATGAAATCCTTTACTAAGCAAAATTATAAAAATGTGTAAAACTGTTGACATAATCCCCCGTCTAGGTGGACCCATTTCTTGAAGGTGGTGCTTCCAGCTCTCTAACCTTCCCGGGAGAACTTGGAGCTCCAGCTTTGGTACTGCATCTAAACCTTAAGAGACTCAAATTGTGCCTTTTCAATGTTTTTTTTTTCAGTTTGGGGAACAGAAATAAATTGGAAGGGGCAAGATCAGGGCTATAAGGTGAATGGAGTAAGATGTCCCAATTACAATCTCTTAGGACAGCCCTGGCTTCAGAAAGACCCCAGCATGCCTTCTTGGCCTTTTCCTCCACAACGCGGTCTTCAGTTGTCGTACTTCTTCCTAGTCAGTCTCTATGACCATCCGGCGTCCTTAAAGATTGCCCTTTTCCATTGAGAGGACTGCAATAGAACCGTAATTGAATGACTCGTTGAATGCAGAACTATGATCTACTTTGTAAACTTTCAGTTTCACACGCACCCCGCCCCTCCACAAAAAGATCACCCCCTCCTTTGGAGTCTCTCAAAAAATTGCTATAATCTTCTGGGCTGATCTCTTCCCTGGGAAGCGAGTTTTGATCGGATCTTTTCTTTGAAGGCACCCCAATGCAACCGAGACCGAGCGCAGTGCCGAGAACTCATCTGCAGCCATCTCCGCTCACAGACACGTTTAAACATGCTTTGCTTGGAAGAAACATGCTTGTACAAGGGGTTTGTTTGGGGGGAAAAGATAATGAATTAAGGTTTAACATTGTACAAAACAAGCAATGAAGCTCCTACATATGAATTGGAACCTAGTAAGAGTGCTTCTTGACTCACTTACCTTCATGTAGACACGCCACTCTACGGGTCCAGCATCCTACTCCTCAGTACTCAACGGAAATGAGGATACATTTCCCACAAGAAATGCTTGAGTGTCCACAGTGACATTATTCCTAACACTAGGGGGCTTCAAAAGTTCATGGGCCTATTCCATTATCTTTTCATTCAATTTGCAAATCCCTGTAGTAACCAAACACACTGAAAACACTCCAAGACATCCTGTGGTAGAGTGAATGAATGTCCTCTGGACATCATCACCTCATTCCCAGAACCTGTGAGCATGTCACTGTATTTGGCTAAGGGAGTCTGTAATTAAGAACCTTGAGATGGTGACATTATTCATTATCTGAGTTGGCTCAATTTAACCATGTGTCCTTATGAAAGGAGGTAGCAAGGCCTGAGAGAGGTAATGTGATGGGGGTGGAGTTGAAGGTGCTATGCTTTGAAGATGAAGGGGTCACAAGCTAATGACTACAAATGGCCTTTAGCAAAACCTAATGCACTGCTCTTGAGTCAATGCTGACCCACAGCGACCCTACCAGACAGTATAGAACTGCCCTTGTGGGTGTCAGAGACTTTAACTCTTTATGGGTGTAGAAAGCCCAATCGTTCGCCTATGGAGAGGCTGGTGGTTTTGAACTGCTGACCTTGCAGTTAGCTGCTCTACGCTTACTCACTACATTACCAGGGCTCCTTCATATAGCCTTTAGATGCTAAAAAGGGAAGGAACTGGGTACTCCTTCAGAGCCCCCAGGGAAACCAGGTCTGCGGCACCACTTTAACCCTACCAAGCTGATTTAGGACTTCTGAATGGTTTTAATAAATCTCTAGTTTTAAGTATCAAAACTGTGACAAATTGTGATAGCAGCAATAGTAAATATACAACCATCAATTAGCTTAAATAATTATATTTGCACAATGGAATAGTATACTGCAGAGTAACTAGCTACGTGCAACAAATTCCATTTCTATAAAGCGTAAATAATGGGCAAGATCTAAGGAGTTGGAGGTTCAGAGAATGGGTACTCTGGGTGGGGCAACTACCTGAGAAGGGAGTACAGGGGAAACTTCTGGGGTGCTGGGAATGGTTTCTTTTTTGATCTGGTTGCATGTGGTCACTGTGTGGTATTTCAGACCATAGACTCGTAACTTGTACAGTGTATATTTTATACTTCAATAAAAAGTTCACATAAAAACAACCCAAAAAATTAGCTTAAAAACAAATTTCCTTCCTTGCAAAAATTGGTACAAAAATAGATTTAAAGTTTAAACATGGCAAATGCAAAGTCTTAGTTAAAACTGAATCCCATATTGAACAATTACAGTAGTTTCAGGTAACAACTAAATTCCTAGGATTTTCTAGTACATCTCCAATGTCACACACAAAAGGGTCTATGCATGCACACAGAGTAGCAGATATTTCAAAGTATACCAGGACACACAGCTTGCAATTTTCTCTCTTTAGTGCCAGTTGTTTCACTAAGTTCTAGTTTAGAAAATTTGGTCTTCACAACACCGTAAAAGAGCGCTGGAGTTGGGTAGGGTGGACACTGAGCTGTCTGCTACATTGTCAGTGGTTCAAACCTACTAGGGCTCTGTAGGAGCAAGATGGGCTGTGTGCTCCTGTAAAGGCTGGAAGCCCTGAAACCCACAGGGGCACTAGGAGTCGGAACTGACGCAATGGCAATAAGTTTGGATTTCTGGTTTGGCACCACAATAAACGCAGAACCTTTCTGGACTAAAGATTTTATCCATGACATTTTTTTCCCCATGACATTTTTAGCTTCTATATTTTATGAAAGAAACTACACAAATCTTTTCATGCTTATAAATACCCTAAGTAGTTTCTACATGGAAACAAATCATTGCCCTCACATATTTCAGCATTTATACTCAACTCTGAGGAATCAAATATTGTAAAACTACCAAGACTAAAGTTCTAGTGAAAGATGTATGCTAAATAATAGTCATTCCGGTTGATAAACATTTTAGAAAATGCATTTTAGAATTAAATAACCAAATTTATAGGGTGGATAGATAGCCAATTATTTTCCAATTGTCTGAAATGGCTCAACTGGTCAAATGCAGATTTGATTTTTGTTGACTGTCAAAAGATCAAAATTGTTTTTAAAAAGCTTCTAAAACAAGGATTGAGAACAGGTTTGAAGCAATATAACTGTTAACAGGAATTCTGCTTATAAGAAAGTAGTTATGCATCAGCCAAGCGTTAAGCATTTCATAGTGCTTCTCCTATTAAATAACAGTAACACTGTATTTTCACTGACTAGGAAGGCATAAGATTCTGCAGTTTGGAACATGCGGGGGTGGGGAGGGCAGTGTTGATCCAGGCAAACCCCCAAATTAATTTACAGAACAGTGAATTTCCTATACTCACTTCTTATAAAGGAGGAATGCTTAATTAAGTCAAAAACGTCAAAATACTAACAAATAGTAATCCATCACTAGTTTATAAATACAAATTTAAATATGAAAATGCAATAAATTATTTGAACCTGAATGCAGAGAATAAATACTTTATTAACTGATTACAGTTGAAAGTCACAAACAAAAAAAGGGTTTATTAAGGCAGAGCCATATATGTGTGTGTGTGTGTGTGTGTACATATATATATAGACAAATCCCAAACTCTTTACATCTCAATAACCTCTGCATTTTTCTGTTACCCTTTTAGGCAGTGTGCTTTCTTCTTAAAGAAACAAATCTTGGCCAATGTTTCCAAGTCATGTTTTGATAATAACTTATAGGGTCATGAATTGGGATAATGACTGGTACACATCAAGCACTACCTAATAAGCTTTCTCAGTATTTTGCTAGTGTGGCTGGACATTTTAATTGCGTCCATTTATGTTGGTGTGCACAAATCTGACAACTGATCATTATCTTTTTTAAAGTTTTAATTCAAATAAGCTTGGCCTTCCAACTAAGTCAAATACACAAATTGCATATTATTTTCTACCCTTCTCTAAACCTTCCTGTATCTTTTAAATAGCGTTTACAATACGAACATCCCTGGCTGTGTTTCAGTTCTAAAAATTGTGAATTTTTCAAAATTCTTTCCTTATGCAAAATGACAAATAGCAACCCTACATCATGTACAATGACTGTCCTCCTGCATGGTTCCCTTTTATAAAAATGGGTAACCTCAAAACAAGCAAACAAACAAAAGCAGACATGAATTTAGTCCATCTGAAAAAGCACTCCAACTCCCTACTTCCACTTTTGAAGGAAAAGGCAGAGGCAAGTTTACATTATCCCAGAAAAGTGAATAAATGGCTTTATTTGGTATCTTCAAGAAGCTTCTCCTTCCGTAGGAGACGTAGGTGTTGTAGGAGAAACAGTAACTGGTTTCCGTGCAATTCTGTCTAATTCTGCGTGAACATCTGATAGGACAGGCTTCTGACCTATATTGAAGAGAAAATGAAATGAAATTTAGATATACTTCAAAGTACATATAACTTTATATACTAAGCTTTATAACTCAAGAGCTTTTTCCTAGCATACTCAATGTCTCTGCCATGGAGTCACCGGCTTATCCCAGCCCCACAGGACAGCAGAGCTCTCTCCGTGAATCCAAGACTAACTCTCTGCAGGTATAGAAAGCCCGGGCCTCCCTGCAGTGGTTGGTAGTTCTGAACCGCCAACGCTGGGAATCGCAGCCTAACGCGTAACCGCTATGTCACCATTGCCCTTAATTTGAAAGTGAATGTTCGTACTAGTAGTTAAAATTGTGGGATCTGTTACCAAATAGATATAAAGCTAGCATCTATTATTTAATTTCTTATCAACTCTAATCAGTCATTTTCAAAGAACACTTCACTTTTAAATGAATTTTATTGTGTTCTCATTGAAGGTTTCTATAGAAGTTTAGATTCACGAAATTCATTAACTTCTACACAAGTGTTCAGTGACACTAGCTAGATTCTGAACAATACATGAATATTCTCATTATTTTCAAGCTAGGGGTTTTGTTTCCATCAGTCTAATTTCCCTGCCCTCTAGATGATTACTTTACAGGTTCACAGTACCCATGGATGATAATATTCTGTGAATCGATCCATCATTTAGCTACAAGGTGACTTTAGAGGCTCATCTGAATTCAAAGAGTATCTCTGGCCACCAGTCTCAGGGAGTACTCTGCTCACCTCTGGTCCAGGAAGTTAGGTTTTTGTTTTAGGACTCTGAGGTTCATCCCACATTCTTCTCCCATCTTATCAGGGTCCATTGATTGTGGCCCTGATCAGAATGGTGGGCAGTGGCATCCAGGCATCTAGTTTATGCTCTGATTACCTTTCATTTTTGTTAAAATGACACAGCAAGTTAAAAACCAATACCCAAATCACTGCCATTGAGTTGCTTCTGACTCCTAGCCAGCCTATAAAACAGAGTAGAATTGTCCCTGTGCGTTTCCAAATCTGTAACACTGTAGGAGATAGGTTTCCATTTAACAATTTCTATACATATTGTTCAATGACACTGGTTTCTTTTTTCATAATGTGTCAGCAAGCTTATTACTTCTGTTTTCCATGACTCTAGGTCCCTGGCCCTTCCCCCACTTACCTTTTCATTTCTGTTTTAGGCTAAATATTGATGGTTTGGTCTCATGTATTTAAGATATCTCAGAGCAATAGTCCTAGGGGCTCCTCCTCTAGTTTCTAATGGACGAGTAAGGCTGGCCTTTGAATTTGTTTAAGAACCCAAGGTTCAGTCTACATTTGTCTCCTATTGTGCAGAGGACCACCTAGTTTTAGTTTCAGGGTACCTGAAGTCCCGGGTCACATGAGCTACATGATTGAAGGTTTCATTTTAAGGAGATGAAAATGTTGTTAGATTGTGAATGATGGGTGCACAACTCTAAATACACTAAAAACAATTGAACTGTATACTCTGAAGGAATGAATTTTATGGAAATATAATTTAAATATCATAAAAATTTTTTTTAAAAACACTGAAGTAACTGTCCAGGGGACCATACCTGATTTTTTGGTGGACGGTGGTAGACCACTGCTTCCACTTGCAGCCCCGCCTCCAGGACTACCACCACCCGGGCCTCCCGGGGATCCGGTTTTCTTACTCAGCAAACTATTGAAGAAATTTGCCAGGACACCTTCACTTGTGGCTCCAGCTATGAAAAATAAGCACCATTACGTCAAACATTAGATCCCCCATCAATGATTATTACAGTAATCACACACAGGAAACCAGCTTAAATATAAGAGCTGTATATTCTAAACTCATTCCTAGTTTGATAATTATTAAACTAGAAAGCTTTATTAAAAATTATGACCTTTTAAAACTAGCTGATTGTAGATACAAGTATCTCTCCTTTTTGAAAGGCAATTT